TCGGCATTTCGATACAGTCGAAATTTCGATACAGTCGGCATTTCGATACAGTCGGCATTTCGATAAAGTCGGGATTTCGATATAGTCGGGATTATGGTTGTCGGGATTTTGATATAGTCGGGATTTCGAATGTCGGAATTTCGATACAGTCGAGCTATTCCGCGAAGATAACTCATTAATGTTCTGTTTTGGCGGTCATATATAATAAAAGACACTATCGGGATTTCGATTGCCACCGGTTGAGATCCCCCATTTTCATTTCATGGACCCCCAAATTTTTTTTTCGCCGACGTAGACTCCTTGTAGGTTGTCATAGACCACTGGGGGTCGATATAGACCACTTTGGGAATCACTGATATAAAGTCTATAACTAAGATTCTCAACCTATGTGGCGCATCAAATTTTTAATGACAGCTGTGTACTTTCCAAAAATTACAAGCAAATATATGTTGAGAAACACTGGTCTATAGTATCTTAGAATTTGATTTCAGTGTTTACTGGAATTCAATGAATTATGGGACTAACATATTGATTTTTTTTTGCTTATGATATCAGTGTTTGACTTTGAGTTTAAATTCAAGTTGACTTGATAAACTGTCATCCTGATGGATCGTCGATCAATCATAGATGGTCTTAAAGTCGTGCGGCGCGCCACCCCTAAGAAGGATGGTCTCCTTTATGGCGGAGCGCTGGAAAAAAAAAATGGATGGACCCACATATGGGCCCATCACTCTTTGCGAACTTTTATCGTAAATAAATAAAAGGGGGCAAACATAGTGCACTCGCGAGGCACGCTCGTAGATAAAAATTACACTTTAAACAAAAATATAGGTCGGCATAAATGCGGATTTACGGGGTGCACAGAACTGAGGTGGAAGCTTCCATCGTGCAGAGGCCGTACATTGTTTCTTTATTTAATTTCGTCGGAGGGGTCCGAAGTGGGATACGGGGGAAATGGTAGAGATAAACAACGGGAATTAAGGGTTCGCCGCCATTAGAGAGGGCACTTTGCAAATTATGTACATGATCGGAATTTAATCAGGCCCAGCAATTCGTAATCGCCGTTATTGCCTAGAATGTAATTACCTCATCCAACATCAGGGAACGGTATTATAGTCAGGATGAGAGAGAAAAAACTGGAGCTAGAAAAAAATTGGGTCCGCAGTTGGAATTCGCGTATTGGGGTTGATTAATTTTAGCATATTTTATGGTAAAACCCTATTGTTCTTGCTCGGAGCGCGCATGTTTGTTTCGTAATTGAATTTCACTAGTGATTGAACAACATATGTTTGTTTGGATGGGGGGGTTTAGGGAAATTAAGTTATTCCTAATAATATGGATGGGGCAGGTCTATATAGTATTGTAGTATTTTTAATTGGTTTAGCTTGCATTGATGCTGCTGCTGCTGCACTTCGAACGCGAATAATGAACTTATAAAAGCCAATCACGTACCGTGCATATGCATTTGATTTATTGCACGGTGCGGTATACCGGCTTTCACAATCATCGCCGTCAATTAAACAACATAGTTGTTCTAACTGCTCTCAGTTTGCAAATTGACCAAGTTATACTGTCGACCGCTTAATTTCTGCTGTTGTGTGATACCAGATGAATTACTCTGGTTTCTAACACTCGGAGAGGGTTTACTAATGAATGTTGTTGTTGTTCCATCCAACTTTTCGCATTCATCCTCTTACATTCCATTTACACTTTTTCAATAACAAAAACACTAATAATTACTAGTCCATCCGCATTTATAGGAAACTATTTAATTACAACTTTTTATTCAGCATAATTTAAGATTTGCATTATTATAATAATTACTTTATTAATATAATTCAGGAATTTAGACTTTCCCATTCAAAAATATTATAATAATCACATTATTTTTGATACAAACTAATTATATCTTTTCATGCTGTTTTTCAAATTAATTTCGTTGTTGCCAATTCACCCTCGTCACAATAATAATAATGCAATCTCTCTTTGTGTATTTGCGTCGGTGAGTTTTCAATCACAAAAAGAACGTCCCTAATCAAAGTTCCGTTGTGTACATTGAAAAGCATTCATTCTCTGTATTCATATTTCAAAATTTAATATTTCCTTTATTTACAATTTCATAAAAGACATTCTTTCATTTTTCATTATTTAAAACTAATTTTTAGTTTTGCATTGCATTAGGAAAGTTATTAATTAATTGCATTTGTAAGGAAATTGTAACGTAGTAGACTTCCCTGTTTTTGTAAGTCAATCAATTAATGATGTGGGAAAATATTGTAATTAATAAGTTTTAATTTCCGGAATGCGCAAAGAAAATTTACATTCCGAATGACGTATTTTAATCTTGGAAAGATTATGTATAAGAAAATCGAATAATTTGATTAGATCAATTGTAGTTTGTGAATTAAAATGTAAATGTCTTACAAAGTTTGTGCTAATTATTATAATTTACATAAAGATTGTAGACTTGAAACTTCAATACTGATTTGTAAGTAAAATATTCAATGACCAAGAAAATAACACTTATTTCATTGATTGAAAATTTACGTTGTTGCACATTTCCAATACTGGAATGAATGGTACAAGTTTAAGGTAAGAACAGTTATTGCCTTACATTGTCGAAATGTCTTACAAAGTTTGTAATAATTATTACAACTTACATAAAGATTGTAAACGTGAAACTTCAATACTGATTTGTAAGTAAAATACTGAATGACTAAGAAAAAAACACTTATTTCATTGATTGAAAATTTACGTTGTTTAACATTTCGAATACAGGAATGAATGGTAACTGTTGTGTAAGGTCACAACAGTTATTACCTTACATTGCCGAAATGTTTTATAAAGTTTGTAATAATTATTACAACTTACATAAAGATTGTAGACTTGAAACTTCAATACTGATTTGTAAGTAAAATATTGAATGACCAAGAAGAAAATACACTTATTTCATTGATTGAAAATGTAGGTTGTATCACATTCCCAATACTGGAATAAATGGTAGAAGTGTTAGGTAAGAGCAGTTACATTGTCGAAATGTCTTACAAAGTTTGTACTAATTATTACAACTTACATAAAGATTGTAGACTTGAAACTTCAATACTGATTTGTAAGTAAAATATTGAACGACCAAGAAAAACAACTCTTATTTCATTGATTGAAAATTTACGTTGTTTCACATTTCCAATAATCGAAAGAATGGTACAACTTTAAGATCTGAACAGTTATTACCTTACATTGTCGAAATGTCTTACAAAGTTTGTAATAACTATTACAACTTACATAAAGATTGTAGACGTGAAACTTCAATACTGATTTGTAGGTAAAATATTGAATGACTAAGAAAAAAAACACTTATTTCATTGATTGAAAATTTACATTGTTTCACATTTCCAATACTGAAAAAAATGGTACAATTTTAAGGTCAGAACAGTTATTCTTTACATTGTCGAAATGTCTTACAAAGTTTGTAATAATTATTATAATTTTCATAACGATTGTAGAATCTTCAATACTGATTTCATTGATTGAAAATTTTCGTTGTTTCACATTTCTAATACTGGAATGAATGGTAGAAGTGTAAGGTAAGAACAGTTATTACCTTCCATTGTCGAAATGTCTTACAAAGTTTGTAATAATTATTACAACTTACATAAAGATTGTAGAATTGAAATTTCAATACTGATTTGTAAGTGAAATATTGAATGACCAAGAAAAAAATACACTTATTTCATTGATTGAAAATTTTCGTTGTTTCACATTTCTAATACTGGAATGACTGGTACAAGTGTAAGGTCAGAACGGTTATTACTGTACATTGTCGAACTTTATGTTTCAATTAAGTCCGGCCGGTCTAAATCGGTATTAAGCTTGTGGAAAAATGTAGCCCGGACAAGCCATTTCACAAGTTATTAAATATTAGCCGTTC